TTAGTATTAGTATTAGTATTAGTATTAGTATTAGTATTAGTATTAGTATTAGTATTAGTATTAGTATTAGTATTAGTATTAGTATTAGTATTAGTATTAGTATTAGTATTAGTATTAGTATTAGTGTTAGTATTAGTATTAGTGTTAGTGTTAGTATTAGTGTTAGCAATAGTATTAGTATTAGTATTAGTATTAGTATTAGTATTAGTATTAGTATTAGTATTAGTATTAGTATTAGTATTAGTATTAGTATTAGTATTAGTATTAGTATTAGTATTAGTATTAGTATTAGTATTAGTATTAGTATTAGTATTAGTATTAGTATTACTATTACTATTACTATTATTAGTATATTAGTATTAGTATAAGTATTAGTATTGTTATCAGTATTAGTATTAGTATTAGTATTAGTATGTGTATCGATATTGATTAGTATCAGTATTAGTATCGATATTAATATCAATATTGGTATCCTTATTGGTACCGATATTGATATCAGAATTGGTATCAATAAAGGCGTATACAACTTATCTCTTTTGCAATATTTATAAGTTGTATTGTTGTTTGAGTAATGTGCATCACTAATTAAACGCAGTTAATGATAAACTTACAGGTTATTTTAATGTCTATCGTGTTTATTGTTAAGTTAGTTATTTTGCAAATGATTGTCATGGTGTAGTAGGTTGAATTCCACGAAATAGAGTTATACCATATGTTTTAAATGATTTCACTTAATCTTCATATTGTGTTTGTGCACTTCACATTTTCTTTTTTGTTATATTTAATTTAATTTCATATGTTAAAACTCTGAATTAAGAGATACAATTTACATTTTTTTTATTTCCTTCTATTTTGTTTTACTTGAATTGGTGTTGTTATAAAGAGATAGTCGTTTACATATTATTATTTTTCTCATTTTAAAACTGACTTCCGTGCAACGCACGGGTGAAGAACTAGTTAAATTAATTATAAAATGAAATTCAAAAATAAATTTATTTAGGGTTTCCAAGAAAGTTTATATATTTAGAGCATTTCATAAATGGTAGGATATAAATATATTAATAAAATAATTAAATATATTTAAATACTCTAATTTTGGAAAATGATGACATGTTTTTTGATGATTTATTTCCACCAATCAATTCGCCACTTGGGATGAAATTGATGACATGTCATCAATTGAAATTGCCAAATGTCAATCAATTAGCTATGGAATTCAACTTTTATATATTATATAGATTATAAAAAAAATTGGACGTTTAAGTCTTGAAATTATTTTTTTTCTTGCAAATTTTTAACGTATTTTAAATATTTTTTTAAAAATATTGAGATTTTTATTTATATTAGGGTCTATAGTAATTAAAATGTGGAGTTAAACATAAATCAAAATATTTTTTTTTAATAATTATTACATTTTATAAAATTTAGTTTTTGAAATATTATTGAAAATATATTATTATATATGCATTAATATAATAGCTAGAAGGACAATTTGGGAAGAAAAAATGCCATATCATTCAAAGTCAAAGTTTTATCATTGAATTCATTAATGAGGGGGGTAAGTGTTACATTTGTAACTTTAAGGGGGTAAGTGTTACCAGTCCTATACTTTAAGGGTGCAAACTGTATTTAGCCCAAAATATTTTAATTAATATTACTATATTCGTTGCTAAATTACTATCTCCAGCAGTTATTTAACTGTTGGAGACAGTGATTTAACTGTTAATTGACTTTTTTATTCTTAAAAAAGATATTTTTAATTAATATTACTGTATTCGTTTGCTAAATTACTGTCTCCAGCAGTTATTTAACTGTCGGAGACAGTAATATAACTGTTAATTGACTTTTTTTCATTTTTTTCTTAAAAAAATATTTTAATTAATAGTACTGTTTAGATGCTAAATTACTGTCTAAAACAGTAATTTAACTGTCTTAGACAATAATATTCATTATATTACTGTTCGGAAAAATAATATTCATAATATTACTGTCCCAAACAGTAATAATACTGTCTGAGACAGTAATTTAGTAGCTAAAGTCAACGTCGGAGACCAGTGGTCAACGGAGGTTGATCGACCGGAAAAAATTTCAGGAAAAAAATAAGTTTTCAAAAAAAAAAAAAAAAAAGAGTCAACGCCGGAGACCGGCGGTCTCCGGTGGTCAACGCCGAAATCTGGCTAGAAAAAAATATTTCAGAAAAAAAATTATTTTCTGAAAAAAAAAATTGGGGGTTAACGTGATATATTTGTTTAAATTCGGGGTCAATGTGTAATATTAAGGAACTTAGAGCATAATGGGTGGAATTGATAAGAATTATATTATTGAGGGTATTTTCGACTAAAGACATGGGGATGGACTTAATTGAGAGACTGTTTTTTTTTTTTTGATCAAAATGCATTTAAGTCCCATGTGATGGGCCTTTTTGTCATTCGCCCTATTTTTTATTGTTTAAAATTGCATAGAAAATAAAGTTTATTTTACAAAGTGCAAATTAGCTGGTTGAAGTTAATTTTTTCTCCCCACTGCGAATACTCCAAAATTTTAGAAATAAACATTTAATCAAAAATAGTTACTTGAAGTTGACTTTTGTTTTCTACCTTTTACAAATACTCCCAAGTTTTAGAAATAACCATTCAATCCAAGTTCTACCCACAATTATCTCAAAATTAGTTGGTTTAATTAACTACGATTTTAAAATCACAAAGTTATATTTTATTTTTGGGGCTCTTTGAGGAAACCCCTCATTATTTTTTTTAATGGAGAGATGTCCAAAATATTTCAGTCTATTTAAGAAAATGTCACACCCATTTTGATCTATTATGTTTTCTAGCTTTGTCCCCGCCCGCCACATCAACACTGGGTCACGCGCTCAGCGATTTGTTTTTTTTTTCTTCTGTTTTTTTTCCCGTCTTTTATGTATCAATTTCCTCAATCGACTATAAAGCATAGTCGATTGGCCTTAATCGACTATGCTTCATAGTCGATTGGCCTTAATCGACTCGATTAAGAAAATTCTTTAATTTTTTAATTTTTTTTTTATATATGAGGTATATTAATCGCCTATGATGAAGCATAGTCGATTAAGAATCTACTACTAAACATAACAAATTACAACTGCGAAAAAATGCAAATTCAACTATATTTTACAAAAAATAAAAAATATTCAAACATTATAAATGATTTATACAATTGGAATCAATAAACAAGAAATCCAAAAAAAATAAAAAAAAAAACTGGAGTCGATCAACCTTAATCGACTACCAGAACATAGTCGATTAGCTTAATCAACTATGAACATGTACATTAGTCGATTGAGGTTTCAGCCTGCGCGAAATTCTCTACACGCACCGTCCTCCGTCCGATCCACAAAAAAACTCAAATTCAGCCTCCACATCGTCCCCACACCACCCAGAGCTCCTGCCATGGCCGAATAACCCGTCATGTTTTGAGCATGTTTAGCTCCACCAATTAAGAAAACCAATTCAATTTAATTTAATCCCAATCCTAATTAATTAATTAAGATTTAGGAGGAGAGATTAACGTGAACGCTAGCGGTTTTGGTAGAGTTCCAAACGGGGCAAGTGTGGAGAGTGGACCCGCAAACAGTACAGAGGCAGAGATGCCTGCAGGGCAAAAGCAACACGCATGATTCCTCTTTCCCACAGCTCCGGCACATCCTGTGGCTCGCCGCCGCCGCACTGCATCCGTCTCCGGAGATGTTTGCGCCATCCCATGCAGCACTCTCCGCCAATGGTAGCCCGCGTCGGTCGATTTCGTCGAAGTTGCTGCCGCAGCACGACTCCGCAGCGTCGCAAACCAAATCCGCCTCGCCGGCGTGGTTGTTCCGCCACCGCTGCTTCTGCTGTTGCTCGTCGTGGAATTAGGGTTTTAAAATAATACATTGACAATTAATGATAGATTTGGAATTATAAAAATAACATTTGGTGGAATACTAACTAAGGGGGTTTTCTCTAATTATTTTTGGGAGGAGGGTTTTCCGTAACTACATTTCCTAAATGAGGGGATCTTGCTAATAATCCCTTAAAAAAAATAATAATAAAGAAAGAATAAGTTAGATATGTTTATTACAAGCACATCACCATATTTGTTGACTAGTTAAACCTATTTTTTCAAGGCAATTAATTAAGCCGCAATTATCTAAAGCACGAATCAAATTAAGTCATCAAGTTGTTAATTTTTCACAAAAGTTTTTTGCATGTAAATATAGTGTGAAAATGAGTTATGCAAACTTTAGTGAGAAAGTAAAAAAACATATATATACGATGGGGTATACGTATACTGTATACTCATCCGTATACGGTTCCTAATTTACAGTAAAAACAAAGTACATCAAACCACAAACACGTCAGAAATAAACTCTGGACCACTTAAAAGCATAACTTCTATTTTTGTCCAACACTCAGTTTTGACACTTCAAAACTGATTCTACCCTTTCTCTCTCATCTACAACCAACAATATACCCCTTAAAAATAGGACTTCCCTTTTGCTTTTACTCATTATAACTACAACACCTGTCACACACTATATATAACCACTAACCACTCTCTCATTTTACGAAACAGAAGAACACACACACACACACACACTGCAAAAAGAAAATACACACTACTATCTGTATCGTGTATTTTTTTATGCTCTTGGTTTAGTTTAGTTTAGTTTATATCTACTTCTCTTAAAAAAAAAAAAAAAAAAAAAAGAGGAAAAAAAGAGGAAAAAAGAAGGAAAAAAACACACACATATACATATCGGTATCGTGTGTTTTTATGCTCTTGGTTAAGTTTGAATCTACATCTCTTTGTGTTCGTAGAAAAAAGAAAAAAGGAAGAAAAAAAAACACACACATATCTATATATATCGTGTGTTTTTATTTTTATGCTCTTGGTTTAGTTTAATTACATATACTTCTCTTTGTGTTTTCGGTCAGAGAAAAAAAAAGAAGGAAAAAAAACACACAGAGATAGTGATTTGTGTGGATATGATGGAGAATGGTGGTGGAGATGAGAACCAAGGAATGAGGCATGTGATGAGACAGTACTGCACTGGAGGGGCATCTATAGAGGGGCAGAATGGTAATAGTAGTAGTAATAGTAATAAGCATTCGTACTTTCTTCGGGCCAAGCCGCCTAGATCTCGTGCTATTGATGAAGAAGAGGAAGAATTATTCTATAAGAGGCCATCTTCATCGTCTTCGTCTTATCATCCGGCACAGTCGAGTGAAGACGAAGATCTCGCAGCAGACTGTCTCGTGATGTTGTCCAATAAGAGCGATAATCAAGAAAATCGTGCCTCATCCAAAAATGATCATAATAATAATACTAATAATAGTAGTAGTAGTAATATTAGTAATAATAAGGAGCAAAATTGCAAGGCTAAACAACAAGTGGTGGAGAAAGGGATGTTTCAATGCAAAGCTTGCAAGAAAGTATTCAGCTCCCACCAAGCTTTAGGAGGGCATAGAGCGAGCCACAAGAAGGTTAAGGGTTGTTACGCCGCGAGGTTGGACGGGCCCACCGAAGAGGAAAACCCCGACGACGAGCCGTCCCGGAGCGAGCCTCTGACGCCGTCGGAGTCTGACGGGCCCCGGCCCGGGCCCGGGCCCGCTACCTCAAACCCTAGAAGGACTAAGATGCACGAGTGCTCCGTTTGCCGACGCGTTTTCTCGTCCGGGCAGGCGTTGGGCGGACACAAGAGGTGCCATTGGCTTACGAATTCTTCGGACAATGCCTTCATACCGCATTTCCACGATTTCCAATACGACCACCATCAGAGCCGAGAAATCTGCAAGAAGAAACCCGTATTTGTAAGGCCTCCTCATCATAATCTTGATCTTGATCACGAACTTGATCTTAATCTGAACCTACCTGCTCCACAAATACATGAAAATTTTGACGACGGAAAAACGAACAAAAGTAGATACGACGCATTGCGTGATTTGCAACAGCTGGCGAAACAAAATCATCAGCAAAAATCAGTCGAGGTCGAAAAAAACGACGAGAAAGCGCGTGAGAAGGAGCTCAGAAAACTGAGTGATCTAAGAGATATGAACATGGATGGAGGGTGGCTGCAGATGGGGATTCCTTACTGATATATGCTAGCAGCCAATGAGGTAATGGAATTTTATTTTTCTTGAGAATATTCAATTGATTTTTTTACTAGCTAGGGAAATAATTTTGTACATATATATATAGACTCGTTCATATACTACAGTTTAAATTATACATAGTTCTTTTGTTTTTCTTTTCTTTTAGAAAACTATACTATACAGTTTTTAAGTTATGTTTTTACTTATCAATGTACTGTAATACTTTACATACACATGATCATAATCATGAATAAAACAGTTTGCCTTGGTTTCTTTCTAAATGCAGTTTTAATGTATTGTTTCTGTAAATTTCGAGAAATCCCTGGATTAAAGTCACATTACCATAAATGAACTGAAGTTTGTTGTCGTTTACATAGCACCTAAGGGTGTAAGTTGGAACGGAAACTCTAATCCGCCAGTTCTGATCCGAAAAGTTCTGATTTTGGAACAACTTTTTTCATTCCGACTTCTGATATTTCGATTTTTTTTCGATTCTTTTGGATTGTTGGAATTCTATAAAAAAAATAGAATTTCCGATTTCCGATCCGTTTTGATTTGCGAAATTAATTCCGAAAAAAATTGATTTTTTCCAAAAAAAATACACCTATAAATATATTATATAATACTAATTTTAATTTTTTTTTTGGTTTTCTGAAATAGTAATTTGAGTTAAGTTTTGTTTTAGGATTTTGACATATTGAATTGTTGCTAGAAATTTTATTGGATATTATGATGTGTTTTTTTTTTTTTTTTGAATTGAAATTTAGTGGTTGTTAGTTACTTTTATCGACGTGGATATTCTTATTTTTGGAAAATTTTGAAATTTTCAGAAAAAATTCCGCTAAGTTTTGAAATTTTATTACTTATGTGATTTCCGAAAATTTTCCGAAATTTCCGGGTCTTTTGGAATTGGAATTGATTTTGTACTTCCGAAAATTTTTGAATTTTTTTCGAAAATGTTAATTTCGATCCGATCCATCTGATTTTCACCCCTAGTAGTACCCCTTTTAAGGCTGAATTTCAGCTGGATTTTTTTATTATACATAATATTCCTCAAAAAAAATACCAATTTTACCATCATTTAGAGTAATTGTAATAATATTTTCTCATGAGGGGTGATTTTAATATTATTTTTTTAATAAAATATGACTGGTTTGTACAACCCTTGTGAATATGCAGTTTTATTGTTATGTTTATCATTTTAAAGAGTGTTATTGTGATGTTTTTGAGTGTTTGATCAATATAAATTATTTTATTTCTTGGTTACGTTATTTATTATTTTGTTCTATGGGTTCCTCTAGTAGCTCTTCTCAAATTATCAGGTCAAAATTATGGTGGAATTAAGACTTCCGTAAAATATATTTTTGGATCAGAATCAACGAAATCGGTAAGTATATTTTGTAATTCAACCAAATTAGAGATGTTCGGGAGAGCGCCAACGAAATGAAGAATCATATTCTAAATCTGATTTTAGTTTTTTCGAAGGTACAAGTTCAAAATTTATTAATATTAGTACATTTTATGCAATCTTTAGTATTAACTGTGTAGATAGTGGTTTTATCTATCCTACACCCGGTGAAGGTTACACCGGGTGGTTTTTTACCGTTGATCTACACACACCAATGTTGGTGTGTGTGTGTTTGTGTGTATATGAATGGTAAAGATCTACCCGGTGTATTTCACCCGGTGTAGGATCTCAAAAGCCGTAGATAGTTCAATCTAATTTGATTTATTGTGATTTATATTCGTTGAAACTTTATACATTGTAATGTTTAATTGTATATACATTTACATATTAAACAATAATAACAATAAAATATGAGATAATACATTATACTTAAATGGATATTTCAACAAATTGTATCTTAGTTGACATCTATCTTTCTGCACTGGTTTTGTTGTATCTTGTGCCTCAAAACTAATACTTTTTTCATTCTTTCACAACTTATTCCTAACACTTTTTCGTAATTAATCTAATTTGATGTACTGCGAGTTGATTTTGGTGAATCATAAGTTGTCTGTTATTTTCCTCATATTATGTTTTTCTTTTTACATCTCTTTGTTTCAGGAATGGATTAATCATAAGTTGCATTGCCTTCTTAAACAGGTATCTAATGTTTCGCCTTCTTTAACAGGATTTTGCTCCAGTATGATAGCTTATAGATACTTTAATTAATCAAACATTAATACAATTGTCCCTATTGTAGGAATGTATTTGTTATTGCTTATTGACCTTATGTTTAATTACTGGCTCCTCCCGCATCAACATACACAAACACGCACTATTTTCCTTGAAAGTCTTTTAGTTACATTTTCTTTAATATAAGTCCGTCTTCAACAACACCTATATATGTTTACCCACATTCTCCCGAATTGAAGGTGAGTGCATCGTGTATTATATTTATGTTATTCCAAAAAATTGGTGTCGGAGTATGATTATTTTGATCCGTCAGGACTTTATGATCTTTTAGGTCTGTTAAGGTTGTTTGATTTTAAATAAGTTAAACATTCTTCTTTTTTACCTCTAAGATTATTATCATTTCTGTCAACTTTATTCCTCTTATTTCTGTCGATATCAAAAATTTTGTCCCTATTAACACTTGATCAAGTGGGGAACTATTGAATTCAAACAATAATACCTTATTTTGTTATAGGAAATTTAAATAAGGGAGAAAACCTTTTCGTATTCTTACTAATATTAAGTTTTATGTTGATTATATTGTATTATATATTTCCTCTGGATGTTATTTTCATTTAACTATGAGTAAACTACTCGAGTTGTTCTCTATAATTTTAAAATTGTTGCTTCTGATGAAACTACACCAAATATAGATGTGGTTATTGTTGGAGATATTAATACTAAATGATACATTTCACTAAAAGCTTAAGCTTTTGGTTGAGATGGTCATTCAACAGTTATATATATGTATGTGTAGCTGGTGGGTGTATATGTGCGTGTTTATAGATACGTAGAAATGTATAACTTTACTTCTTTAGTCGTACAATGTTCGCATTGGTTTGATCCTCAAACTATCACTTTCAGACTCGAGAATGACTATTGTCTTTACAGATTTGCACCTCGATGAATTCCATTTCCAGCAAGGCGGAGTATGCACAAAAGGTGGTGGAGTGTGCGTGTGTGTTTCATTTTAGCGGATGATAAATGGAGCGAGTTGTTGCATTTGGTGAAGAAGGATTTTTATTTATTTTTTATTTCAATGAACATTTTAATGTGTAGTTAGTAAGATTAAGATTTTTGGGTTTTTTCTGTATATTTTGAAAGTACCACTTTTAAAATAAGCAAGTTTTATGGTTTATTGGATGCAAAATGAAGCTAAAAATATAATAATTATGTTTGTATTTTGAAGCAGTTTCTTATGAAGTATAATCTTTTATCTCTGCATAATTTAACTTGGTTATTAAGATTAATATGTAATATTTAATAATTAATAAATAGTTCCATTCATTGTTAAATCTAAATTCCATGCTATCAACATGTTCAACTTACAAAATATATGTTATGTTCATGTTCTGATTAATTATCATGCTCTAAATATAATACATAATATATAAATATACACATGTTCAATTTTTTTATTCGATCATCAATATGTACTTTTCTAAAAATAAATTTGGAAATATGTATTTACCAAGCATCACACGGGTATAACACTAGTATTTTATATATAGCACGATCAAAACGAATAAAAGAATATGCCTAGTACTTTACATTAAATTTATGGAAAAGTTCACATTGGACCTCTGAATTATTGGGTATATCGCAAACACATCATTTAATTACAAAACGTAACAAATATCCCCTCCTTTTTGTATTATGAATATGCTGACATCACCTATTGACTTTTTTGTTGCCTTTTCTTAGGACCTTATTACCCCTATGGTGTAAGGGTCCAAAGCTTATATGTGTTTTATTTTTTTTTATTTTTTTTTCCTCATTTTTCATTTGAAATTAGTTGTTTTTTTTCTTTTTCTTAACTTCACAATAATGTTCAACTATAGTTGTTATCATGAGTTCAATTTATATATCAATCCTAATCAAACACATTAGCAATTGAATATATACCTAATTTCTTTAATTTAACCAAGTATCTCAAAATAGAAAATTTAATCAGGGTAAACATCTCACTCAATGTACTTCAAGCACCCAAAATATTCAAACTCCGTAAACAGGTCTCCATAATGGATTTTAATTAAAAAAATGTTATGTCATTATAACCTTAAAAATATATTCAAATTAATAAAATATTTAAATAAGCTAAGCAATTGCTTAAATAACCATCCAAGTAATGTTTGCAAGATGAGTTATGTTGGAAAAAATTGAAGGAGATAATGACTTTAATTTGTATTTTTTTATTTTGACTGAAATATTTATAAGTACTAAAATTCACATATATTTTTTCCATTGACTAAATGTGGGGATAAATTGTAATTGCTCAAGAAAACATTAAAAAATTAACATCTTTGCCTTTTTGTAAGTTTGACCAAAAAATGTAAGAGGGTATTTGATATGTCTCGCAATTGATGGTTGTGTATACGACACAACTCATAATTCAGGGGTGCAAAACGAATCTTGCCCTATAATTTATAACTTGCAATTAGGGATAGGGTGAATTATGAACCAACCCATGGCGTTGGATTAAATTATGAAAATTCACCTATTATTTGTTAAATTATGGGGAAAGTACAGTTTGCACCCCTGAACTATAGGGGTTGTCGCAAACACCTCCCTAAACTACAAAACGTACCAAAATGACCCCTCCGTTTCCATTCCCCTTGTGGTGTGCTGATGTGGCAGGTTGACTTTCTCTAGTTAAATTGTTTTGACAATTTTGCCCCCTTAGTTTGCCATATATATATATATATATATATATATATATATATATATATATATATATATATATATATATATATATAAAAATAAAAAACCCCCCCCATTTTTTTATCTCTCACTGTGCCTCTATTATACACATACACAGGTGCCGCGATAATACTCTACACATTATAAAATCACATTATCAACAAATACACTATTTTTTTTGAGAAATAAATACAGTGTATAAAACAAAAACTCCCAAAAAAACACCCACACACACACACACACACACACATATATATATATATATATATATATATATATATATATATATATATATATATATATATCTCTATAGAGATATAGAGATGTGAGAAAAAAACACACTATTATATAAAGAAAAGATATAAAAAAAAAAAAAAAAAAAACCCCAGAGGCGTTCTCTCCTCAGACGATTGTTGTTGTCTTCTCTAAGTTCAAGCACACAAATTCGCATATGCCTCCCAAATAGCGAAACAAATTATCCGGAGCCTCTTTCCCCTCTTTGACACTTCAATTGTACCATTCGTCCGCCCTGAAATCTAAGTCTAACATTAGGAGTCGCTTCAGTTTCAATTAAATAAGGAGGGGGCCGAACGATGTCGTCGAAGGTGCGTGGTTGGGGAATCGACGTTTGAAATACACGAGTGAAAGCCGGTTCTGATCCCCTGCTACGAGCCTACGACCTCACAACAGGGGCGTCTTTGGTGTTCTCGCGGGCCGACGCGTTGGAGATGGACAGTTGCAATTTCACCATAGCAGATCTTTTGGGAGTGCAGAAAGTGATGGGAGATGAAAGATAGAGGCAAAAAGAAAGAAGATGGAGAGAGAGAATGTGGTTGACAAGTCAAATTTATTAATTAAAATTTGAGGACAAAAAAGTAAATGAACAAGAAAACTAACGGTGTTAGTTTTGTAAACGTTGACCACGAATTAGAGGGGCTATTTTGGTACGTTTTGTAGTTTAGGGGGGTGTTTGCGACAACCCCTATAGTTCAGGGGTGCAAACTGTACTTTCCCCTTAAATTATTCTTACCCTTCATGGTATATCATGGTCTAACAGTTTCCCCCTTACGGTGTCAATTCTAACATAATCTTTTAGATTTTAGGAACATTCGTTGAAATATTCCAATTTCACCTGTAAAACTTATAAGGATGTGCAATTGTAATTTTTTTTAATTTATTTTAGGTTTAATCGTAATAGTTTTTTGATGCTATATTTTTTTTTTTAGTTGTTTTAAATATTTAATCGTTGGTTTTTTCTCTTTATTTACTTCTATGATCTATGCGAAAAAAAACAACTAAAAATGAGGGTGTGGATTTGAAATTCATCCCAAAATTCCTCAATCCAAACAAGTTCAAGGGATTTGTTATTAAGAATTTGAAATTCCTCAAAATCCCTCCATCCAAATGCACCCTTAAGCTATTTGATTTATTATGATCTGTCTCTTTTAGCCAACGATAGGAAAGATGAGACGACATGGAAATTTTATTGAAGGAAGCCCAAAAGAAAAGTCCAAGGAACCCCTGGAAGCTGACCTGCAAAAAGGAGTACCGATGAGATATCTCTCGGCGATAGCACTTCGATGATCGAGTCCGTAAGTATAATATATAAAATTATGTATAGAGAATATAGTAGAGTGTTTAATTTGTGATACCTCTTGGCTCTTTCCTTTATATCTGACTTAGGGGTGGGGTGGTAGGACCAAAGTACCCACACGTGTGTGTAATGTTATTTTCTCGAGCTGCATTTCTGTTGAAAGCGAGCTATTTGTCTTAAACGGGCTGAGTCAGTCAGGCCCGACCCTAGGCTATACGCAACTTAGGTCTATTCCTAGGGCCCCTAACTTATGAGTATTATAATTAGGGTCCCAAAAATTATGTTTACTGTTATAAGGGCCCTCAAATACAAAATAAAATTTATATTTTCTTATTTAAATAAAAAAATATTAATATATAAAGAATAATGTACCAATTAATAATTTTAATACATGTATTTATACTAAAATAAAAATATCCAAAATATTTATTTTTATATTAAAAAAATAATGTAAAGGGCCAAAATTATTTTTTTTGCCTAGGGTCCCATATGGACTTGAGACGGCCCTAAAGTCAGTTCAAACTTCTGTTCGCGTGCATGCTCGCTCTCTACTCTAGATGCTAAGTGGACCTTCTTCGGTCCACGTCAAACTACAGGTTTTACACCTCGGTCATAGCCGAAGCGTAACCACATCGGTCAATTGTCTGCTCCATGTGGGAGGAGCCTATAGGGTTGGAATGACTGTCTTGTAGTGGGCATGAGATATATCTAGACCGTGTTACGGGATGGTTTTATGAGTTGGGCTTTTGAGTCATTTCGGCCCGCATCATCTACTATGATCTATATTTTGTAAAAGAATTATCAACGAAGCTTTTTTTTTTTTAATACTTAAATTGTCATATATATTTTTTGTGTTAGAAATCCGACACTGTAATAATCGATTAATTAGTAATATCACTTAACTAAGAGGGTGTTTGGCTAAGCTTATTTTAAATAGCTGATAAGCTCCTACGTCTGATAAGATGTTTTAAGAGCTGATAAGCTGTTACATCTTATTTTTAGGATTAATTTTTAGAGTGTTTGGATAATAAACTTATTTCCTATTTTTACTCATTATAAGATCTTAAATAAAAAGGTGGGGTAGAGGTACTTATTTAAAAAGATATTATTTGCTCTCCAACAGCTCATTTTTTAAAAAAATAAGATCTTTTTAAAAAAAATTACCAAACACTTTGGAAGAGCTTATAAGCTCTAAAACATCTTATAAGCTCCTTTTAACATCTTATTAGCTTATCCAAACACCCTCTAATTACATTTTTGGTCAATCCCTATTTGGTGAGAATATGCTAATTGGAAAATCTCTAATTTATTAGATAGTACAATTAAGTGAATCATATATGAATAAATTACATGTATTATATAAGGGGCTATTAGTCAAAATCCCCATTGGCCTTTTTTTAGCGGGGAAATTGGCTAGACACCCCTAATTTTGGACTTATATAGGTGGAAATCCAAATTGTTAGATGAATATAGGTGTAGGTCATTTGGCCAATATCATTAATATTAATTAAATTAAAATATTATTATATAGACACAAATACCCTTAATTAATATTTATATGCAATACTATTTGAAAATTATGGAGCAAATCCCACATATCACTCTCCTCACTCTCTCCTCTCCCCCCTCTTTCACTCTCCTCTCTCTCATCTCTCACGTCTATTTCTCTCTCTCTCTTTCCCAACTTTTTCATTTTTCTTATTTTTATTCTACTTTTTAATTTTTTTCTGCATTTTTCTAATTGACTTGGATCAATAAACATTTACATTTATTATTTTTTATTCTACTTTTTAATATTTTTATGCATTTTTCTAATTGACTTGGATCAATAAACATAAATGTAAAATAACAAAAATAATTTCAAACACATATTTAATGACAAACACCCAAAACGACCTGGTACCCAAAACGATCTGGTACCCAAAACGACCTGGTAAAACGACCAAGAACCCCAAAATTGAACAGCAAATTGAACAGCAAATCGAAAACTGCAAACGACCAAATCGAAAACTGCAAACGATCAAGAACCCAAAAATCGAAAACTGCAAACTGCAGCAAATCGAAAACTGCAAACGACCAAATCGAAAAATTGAACAGCAAATCGAAAACTGCAAACGACCAAATCGAAAACTGCAAACGATCAAGAACCCAAAAATCGAAAACTGCAAATTGCAGCAAATCGAAAACTGCAAACGATCAAGAACCCAAAAATCGAAAACTGCAAACTGCAGCAAATCGAAACTGCAAACGATCAAGAACCCAAAAATCGAAAACTGCAAACTGCAGCAAATCGAAAACTGCAAACAACCAAAACACCCAAAACTGCAAACGACCAAGAACCAAAAAATTGAACAGCAAATCGAAAACGAAGACAAAATGCAAACGACCTGGTAAAACTGCAAACGACCAAACACCCAAAACCTCTTGAAGGAATCACAATTCGTGGTGAGATTTTCGATTTGAAGAATAAGAGGAGAAATCGAATTCAAGATTTTTGCAATTGGAATTTCGGATTTGCAGTATAATAGGGAGAGAAATGGGGGATTTGATTTTGAAGATATATTTTACCGTATATTACTAGATATATTGATAGGGGTACTTTTGACAAATTATAAATGCAAAAATTTGCTGAAAATTAGAGTTTATTAGATGGATTTTAACACATATAATCTCTTATAGGAGGACCTATAGCAAATTGCCCCTTTTTTAGCAAGGATGAGTCAACCACTTTTTCTTATTAGTGATAGACCCGATTCTTTTGTTATTCTAATTTACCCTCTTCTATATTCACTACACATTACCCACAACTTTGATAATTTTTTTTCTATTATTTTTTTGGTAATTTCTTTTAATTTTCTAAATTTTTTAGAGACTATTTGACAAAACCCCTTCAATGAAGTTCCCTATTATGAGAAATCTAATTTATAATTTGAAATTTAGCATAAACCCAATTGACTCGAATTACCATATTATATTATTATGAAAAATTAATTCACAGTTTTTGTAAATATACAAATCCCCCTAATTTCTCCCAATCTCACGCCATTTCAGTTTCTGCTTTTCCTTTCCTTTTTGAATTTTTAAATGGTATTCTTTATTTCGATAACAAAAAAATGGTTATTTTTTTTTACTTTTTTTATTTTATCTAAGTTTTTTAAATGGTTCATATTTTAAAAAAATGTAATACACTGCATACTCATTGAAAACCACTATAATTTATCGAAAATCACTATGAAATTGAAGTGAAAATGACTATAAAATTAACATAATTCACATTAATATTGATGTAATCCACTACAAACTTACCGAAATCTACGTAATTTAATACGAACTAACGTAATCCACTAAAAATACACATAAAAAAGAACGAAATCCATTATTCTTGACCCTAGATCGTCTTCCATCTCCCATGGCCGCCGCCGACGCCTCCTCGAGTTTCAAAAAACAGAGCTCATCCCCGTGCCGCACCAGCATGAATACCATCCATAAATAATCCACTACAAACACACACAAAAAAAAAAAAAAAAAAAATTAAATCCAATACTCTTGAACCCTAGATCGTCTTTCATCTCCCATGGCCACCGCCGCCCCCCAAAAATTCCAGAAAGCTGCATCATCCCCTAATCTCACCAACCCGAATACTATCTAAATTTTGTTGCGGCAGTGGAGCACAACGAACTTCATTCCCGACAGACCACCTCTTGATTGCAACCGTTCATCTCAACCTCACCACAATTGTCACAATAAATCCATCTACTGGAACCTAGCACCACCTTGATGAGAGGATTCTAGGGGTGAAGATCGCCCCAACATCCGCCGTCGTGGAGAAGAAACATTGCAGAGAGTAACGAATTTTTGCAAGAGATATTGCAGATTGGTGTTGTGGCGAAGTTTTGCTTGGTGATGCAGGTGGATTGTGGAGTGAGAACGAAGGAGAGAAATGTTGAAATTGCATTCCAGAATGTGGGGGGCGTGGTTGTGGAGGAGAAGAGATATAGAAGAAAGAGACGGATATTGTGTTTTGCAATATAATTAAGTTAAGAAAAATGAGAAAGGGTATTATAGGAAAAAAAAATATTTTTAATTATTAAAAAATGGTTTTGAATTTATTTTATAATTGGAAAAATATTTTGGGTTCATTTTAATTGATCATGTCTAATGAGAGGGTTGTCAAATAATCCCTTCAAAAAATGTCCTACCACTCATAAATTCGAAATCTCGAGTAAAATTCAACTTGCATTTATTATTTGTTTTAGTCTGCATTTAGTATTTTTATTTTTCCTCTAACATTTTTTTTTATTTTTTTTTTACAGAAAACACTTTATTTTAGCATTATTTATATTATTATGAAATTTTACTTTTCTACATAATCTTGAAAATTACAATTAAAAAAAAAACATGTTTTTCGTTTTTTTTTAATTCAACTTACATATTTTCTAGGGGTAATGGCAAATAGGCCCATGACAAGGGCACTTAGTTAAAAGAGGGACATCCAACTTTTTTGACTTTATTATTTCAAATAAATCCAGCCCATTCAAACTTATTTGCAAATAACAAACTGAAATGCTATTCATAGTGCGGTTTTTACCGGCTTGCAGTGCGATTTATTTCATTTGTAACTTTCCTAAAAAAAAACCAAATTCGCCCGCTATTTCGTGTATTATTACACGAAATACACTCAATAATTTCGTGTCTTTTCACACGAAATAGCGGTGTTTATTGTTATAGAACACGAAGGACGAAACTGTTAGATTAAAAAAAATCGTGTATTTCGTGTAAAAGTACACGAAATGGAAGAACATATTTCGTGGAGTTTTCTACGAAATGGAAGACCATATTTCGTGGAATTTTCTACGAAATGGAAGACCATATTTCGTAGATTTTTCCACGAAATATGAAGTGACATTTCGGTAAATTCAGTACGAAATAACTAAAAATTCAAATACAAATACAAATTGAACTAGAATTCAAATGCAACTAAAAATTGAACTAGAATTCAAATACAACTACAAATTGAACTAGAATTCAAATACAACTACAAATTGATCTAAATTTCAAATACGAATAAAATTGAACTAGATTTCAGATACAACTACAAATTGAACTACCGACCAGACTTTAATTGTTCGTACAAGAGTAGTCGGGGTTTGTACGTTTTGAGTAAGTGCCTCAAGTTTTTAGCTCTATGGTGTACCCATGCCGGATGGATTGGTGGTAGTGGACTATTTGCGACCAAATTAACAAACATGAAATGATTGTTGTGCAATGTCACAACAATCATACATGATAAGTGACCACTGCCAAACATAGGAAGGTAAGTCATACTCCCTACTTGAGTCAAAAGTACCACTAATGCACTGTATCTGGTAGCAATGGCCAATCCCATTTCATTCATGTCCATCCAATAAGCTTGTGGACAAGGCCCTGAGGTCCAGTCACACTTGCGTATGACCTCAACGTATCCGGTACTGCCAAACATCGCCGTGTAGACACTAGCATGCTCGTATAACTCAATAAGCAACTCCCCTCTCACTTGCGGCCATCTTTCTTGATCCCCGTACACGGCTTGAGCAACGCACCGGTACCCACAGTTGCCATCCGCCATCACGTTAACATAATCTTGAATAAGACGGACCATAAATCTGGGCACGAAAGAATAAAAGTCGATTCCTTCATGTGCAGGTATTGTAGGGGCAGCAGATTCTTGTGTGGGAATACGAGAACCACGACCTTTCATCTTCGATTGAGGCGTTCCATCAGTGCTTCTCTCAACCTTTGTTTTAGGAATCTTTGCACCAGATGAGGTTTGGCGACCCTTGGAACCACACGACGACTTAATTGTCTCCTCATCAATATGATACTGCCATCCAGAAGGGTCTCTCTTTGTCGAGTTATTCTTTGGTCGTCCTTTGGTCTTAACAAATGATGGTTCGGACAGATGCGACGTAGACGGATAAACGATGCCACGCAATGAGGCCACGGCATTTATCTTACTCGTGTAATTCATCTTCTTCAAATTGCAATTCAGGTCATCAATCTGTCTATCCACAATCTCCTCGCGGTTTACTTGATACTCAGGTAGCTCCGAAGGCTCAACTGCCATGGTACTCCAGAATGGATGCAAGTCTGAAATGACGAACGTGTCATTATCTTCCATTTTCTGCACAATTTTGCACGCGCATGGGAGCCCATGAGTATTCCAAAGATAGTGTGTGCAAATACTCGGATCTTGCATCGCCGGGGACTCCATCTCTTCATCCAATTTCTCTAATGCCAGATGCGTAACATAACAAATCAAACCCTGAAAACACGGCCATGCTGCAGTATGCTTCCTTATCTTGGATGATAATGAAAAATCGCACTTCAGCTCACTAATTTGGATATAAACTTGGTCCCGAAGTTTGCCTTGCACGTTATCCAGACCTCCGGTCGAAGCATTTAACCAACCCTTCGCTGAAGAATGAGCGCTCTCCACCCTATCCAATTACAACAACAATCAGAGCATACAACGACAATCAAATTACAAAATAAATATTATTTTTATATAATATCTTTTATCATTTAAATAACTAAAACATGTAATACCTGTTGGTGCTCGTGTTGCCAAAATGATACACATTGCGAGTATAGGCACGAACAAACTTCTCCTTGTATATCAACCACGTATCATTCAAATACTGTATCAGCCTAGGATACCCTGCATACCGTCCAACAATTTCATTGTAATTGTAATGATACTCTTCTTCGGTTTCTGATTTCACCAGCTTAGCCCACAGCACACGTCGGAATATTAGACCTTGGTCCTTGTTGCCTCCCATAAATTTCGTCGCATTTGCCTCAACATTTCTGTTTATATGGAATATACACAACATATGATACGAAAATGGGAAGACATTTGGCAGTGCTTTCAAAAGACCCAACTCTCTGTCTGTCAAGATCGCATCAGGTTCGACACCATCTAGCAACTCTTTCAAACAATTCAAAGTCCACTCGTAGGTGTCTGCATCTTCATGCGACATAAATGCAACAGCAATTGTATAATTCCTCCCAACTGGAGTTATCCCAATTATTTCCAAAAGAGGCATTCCATACCTACAACAATGTTGTTTTTACATATTTAAACAATACAAGACATTAAAACACAATAATCATAATTTGAACAATCGTAATTTTTACTTACTTATTGGTTTTGTATGTGCAGTCCATCAATATAACATACGGGAACAACCGTAATAACTGAATAGATTCGGGACATGCAAACATAATATCTGTAATCGTGTTGCTCGTTTCACTATCGACGCGATGCCAATATCGATACTCGCCTTTTTGAAAGTTATGCATCATAAACTGAATAACAGTCATGCCCTCCATTTCCTCAGATTTAATCTTGGCCAACTCATTGTAAACATGCTTCATAGAGGTTTGTATCGTCGGATCATCTTTTCTCAGTCTATCCATGATCAGCATTGGCTTCACGTGAGAATTTCGCAATTCTTTAATTCTTGCTTTCTGTTGCGGAGTTATACGACTAGTCGTACCTTGTCCGTGAGGAAACAAAGTCGGACGATGACTATGCCTGCCATCGCTGACAGTCAACCGCCATAATTCATCAAACCTTGACCTTTTGCCAATCAATTTGAACGGACAACCACATTTTTTTGTTCCTGAGTTTCTAGGATCTTCCACATCGATATTCGTTTGTCGGCCATGTCCGTATTTGTCACACGTCATGTACTGTGCATTCTCCCTTCTAGACTGACAAATCAAACGGTGACAATGACTAACTGCAGTTTCTTTCGCCCAGTTGATTAATTCTTCCCTACTGCCGAACACAATATCAACTTGGAAGAAGTGAGAGAAATCTTCATATTCCTTTTTATCCAAAACCGAGGGATCAAAATACAAATTGTCGTCATATGGCTGCGTAAATACAAAAAAAAGGTTAGATACTTGCACAAAAAAAATTAATAACAATACTAGGTATTTCGTGTAAAATCACACGAAGTATATGCATACATTTCGTGTAATTTTACACGAAATGTATTCATACATTTAGTATAGTACTGCACGAAATGAATAACAAAACAGTTTTACTGCTATTTCGTGTGACTTTACACGAAATAATAGGTATAATTTCGTAGTATTGTACACGAAATGACTGGAAAACACGAATAAAGTGTTCATTTCGTGCAAAACAACACGAAATGACTTGAATAATTTCGTGATATTCTACACGAAACGACTGAAAATCGAAAAAAATCACACTAAAACGTATTTTTTTACCTCATTTACGGGATCGATGTTGGCCATCTTGATAATCGTTGGGTTTTAACTGATTTCTACGAAAACAAATCACGATCTACGAAAGTCGAAATATTTGGATGTTGAGAGGATTTTGTAAAAGGTTAAAGTGTTTTTTGACAAATGAATTATTTCGCACTGTAGCTGGAAAAAACCGCACTGATAATAGCAAGCCCCATAACAAAAATCCTTTTATATATACCAAAATTACCTCCAATTCATTTAAATCCAATTTAACTACAACTTCATGATTTACACCCCAATTTAGCTAAATTTCACCAATTAACCAATTTTAACCCTAATTTCAATTTTAACCCCAATTTTGACCCGCCACCACCGGAGACCCCCGGTCGCCGCTGTTGACCGGCGTTGACTTTTTTTTTTTTCCTGAAATTTTTTTCCGGCCGGTCAACTGCCGTTGACCGCCGGGTCCGGCGTTGACTTTTTTTTTTTTTTTAATTTGTTTTTTCTTAAATAAATATTTTAATTAATATTACTGTCTTGGCTGCTAAATTACTGTCGGTTATTTAACTGTCGGAGATAGGGATGGAAATCGGACGGATCGGATCGGATCGGATTTGGGTGTTTCGGAAAATTTCCGATTTTTTTCGGAAGTCCAAAACGACTTCCGATTCCGATTCCGATTTTTTCGGAATTCAAAAAGTGATTCCGATTCCGAATTTTTCGGAATTTTCGGAAAATCGGAATTTTTCGGAAATCTTCATTTTCGGAATTTTCGGAATTTTTTCGGAATTTTTTTGGAATTTTTCGGAATTTTCCAAAAAAAAAAAAAAAGAAAAAGAAAAAAATGAGCACCACAGTAGCAAAACAGAACATACTCACAAAAAAACACACAACAGACACCAAAAAAACACACATCAGACTCACAATTCACAAACATAGCTAAATTGGTCTTCGGAGAGTCGGGAGGCGCTGGTGGTGGTGGCCTTCGGAGAGCCGGGAGGCCTGGTTGCGATGGTGGTGGTTGGAGAATCGGGAGGCGCAAGTGGTGGTGGTCGTCGGAGAATTGGGAGGCGCTGCTGGTGGTGGTGGTCGTCGGAGAGCCGAGATGAGCTAGTGGTGGTGGTCGTCGGAGAACCGGGAGGCAGTGATGGTGGTGGTCGTCGGAGAAGGCGCTGGTGGTGGTGGGGGAAAAAGAAAGGTCGGATTGCTGAGAGAGAGAGTCGGTAAATTAGGGTTTCGAAGTAATTTTAATAAATTTTGAGTTTTTGACTTTTGTAAGTTTTAGAAAATTAAAAAATAATAATATGTCCAAAAAAAAATATATATATATATATATATATATATATATATAAATAAAACAATTGGACAAAAAATATTAGTAATATACTAGTAATTAGTACAGGCGGATAGATATATACATATATTATATATTATATATAGTAATAAATATTAATATTATAATTGAAAAAATCGGAAATAATCGGAATAATTTCGGATCGGAAATCGGAAATTCCGAAATTCTGTTATGTATTTCCGATTCCGATCCGATTTTTTTCGGAATTTTCGGAAATCGGAATTTCGGAATTCGGCATTGAAAAAGTCGTTCCAAAATCGGAATATTTCGGATCGGATTCGGCGGAAATCGGAATTTTCGTTCCAATTCCCACCCCTAGTCGGAGACAATAACTTAACTGTTAATTGAATCTTTTTTTTTTCTTCAAAAATATTTTAAAAAATATTACTGTATTCGTTGCTAAATTACTGTCTCCAGCAGTTATTTAACTGTCGGAGACAGTAATTTAACTGTTAATTGACTTTTTTATTCTTAAAAAAATATTTTTAATTAATATTATTGTATTTGTTGCTAAATTACTGTCTCCGGCAGTTATTTAACTGTCGGAGATAGTAATTTAACTGTTAATTGACTTTTTTTTTTCCTTAAAAAAAATTATTTTAATTAATATTACTGCCTTGGATGTTAAATTACTGTCTTGGATGTTAAATTACTGTAATTTAACTGTCTTAGACAATAATATTAATAATATTATTGTTCGGAAAAATAATATTAATAATATTACTGTCTCAAACAGTAATATTACTGTCTGAGACAGTAATTTAGTAGCCAAGACAGTAATATTAATTAAAATATTGTTTTTCTAAGAAAAACAATTCAAAAAAAAAAGTCAATGCCGGAGACCGGCGGTCAACGGTGGTTGACCGGCCGGAAAAAACAAATTCAAAATAAAATAAAATAAAAAGTCAACGCCGGTTACCGGCGGTCTCCAGCGGTCAACGCCGGAATCTGGCCGGAAAAAAAAATTCAGAAAAAAATTATTTTCTGAAAAAAAAAGTTTTGGGGGTTAATGTGATATATTTGTTTAAATCCGGGGTCAATGTGTAATATTAAGGAAGTTAGAGCATAATGGGTGGAATTGATAAGAATTATATTATTGAGGGTATTTTAGACTAAAGACATGGGGATGAGCTTAATTGAGAGACTTCCCATGTGATGGGCCTTTTTGCCATTTGCCCTATTTTCTAATATATTTTCTTATTTTATATGTTGCCAATATTGTAGTAGATTTCGGTATATTAATGTACTATGGTCTACTACGATATAGTATTACAAATCCTAGAAGGAAACAACTCCAGGACGTCACAAAACTCTAGAAGTCGCAACCACCAAATCCTAGCCACCCACCAACAGAGCCCTAGGTCCATTCAACTGCATCCCACCATTGATTTAACATCGCACCATCGTCTCCAACAACAATCTATCACCATAATTATCCCCTCCATAACCATGACCACCACTACCATCACCATAGTCATCGTCTCCCTCTACCGGCACTTCAGAATGACAATAGGGATGCATCGCCATAGCTACCGCCTCTCTCTACCGGTCAGGGTTCGCCGGAACGACCCTTCCGGAACGGGAACGGTGCCCGCCGTTCCGGATTCCTTAACAAAATCGTTCTCTTCCCGTTAACGCGGCGGACCATCGAGACAGGCGAGACGTAGCCGGGAAACGGCACTGGAACGGCGCCGGAACGGTCTGAACGGCTCCGGAACGGCCTGACCCTTGACTGGAAAAAAAGGATAAAAGAAAATTGGGAACGAGACCCTTGACGGAAAAAAATTGAAAAAGAAAAATAAAAATAAAATAGAAAATTGGGAACGAGATAATTTGTAAAAGAAGAGTCTAAATTATTTTTTAAATTAAAAAAAAAAAAAAAAAAAAAAAAAAAAAAAAAAAAAAAAAGAGTTTAATTTAAAAGAAAAGTTTAATTTGGTTTTTTTTTTTTTTTGGGAGTTAAAAACTAATTTTTTGGGGGTAATGAAACCCCACAAACCCCTCTAATTCCCTGTTAACGGGAAAAAGTAACAATAAGTAAATCAGGACTATAATCTATGTATTTCCCAAAGGGAAATAGCAATAATACTTTTTTTTTAAAAAAATAATAAATAAGCTTGAGCAACAATACATATTTTTTTTAATAAAATAATAAATAAATTTGAAAACTGATTCTTAAAAAATGGAAAATAATTTTCAAAATAGAAATAATATTTAATTTTGGAAAATTCGAATATTTTTAATATTAAAATTTTATTTAACTTTTTTTTGCTTTCAAAATTCGGTTACTTAAATAAAACCATTTTAATTTGAAATTGATTCATCACATAATAGGTTTTACTACAAATAAAGACAATATGGGTCACATTTACCCACTGATTCTCAAATAGAAAATCTTGAAAGCTTTGAACCAGTTCGGCATTCTATGTGGTATTGATATTGCATGTAACATTTTATTTTAATTAGTGCAAGGTTGTTGTAATATTTTATTTTTTAATTTTTAATAATTTTAGCATATTATTGTATTGTAATGTTCATATTAAAAATATATTTGAAATAAATTATATTTTAGCATTTTAATTAATAAAAGTCCGTTCCGACCGTGACGGAGCCGCGACGGAACCGCGACGTTGCAACGGAACTGGAACGGCAGTGTCCGCAACAGCCGACTGTTTTGTGTCAGGAAACCATGCTACCGGTATAAGCCATGAGCCACCACCGCCATTTGCAGATCCGTCATTTTCCACAACCGCCACCACAATAACTACACCCGAACTGAGTGGCGAGAGAGATGTTGAGAGCGAGACGGAGATAGCTAGAGGAAAGAGACAGGAACTTAGAAAAACAAACGAGGAGAACATGAGTATAACATGAGTATAGGGCAAACTAGAAATTATAAAAATTATGAATGTCGGTCATATATTATTTCAAAAGAGATTGAATTAAAAGATTTAAAATTAAAATTAGCACTTAATTTAAATTAAATTTGATTTGAGTGGCCCTTTAAATTTTATTAAGTTGGAGACAGATAATTTATAGAGTGTTTACATTTAAGATAATTTGCATTCTTATTAAAATAATAATTAACTTGAGCTAATACTTTATCCAATGTAAAAACTAATTACTTAATATTTGTTTTTCATAAACAAAAGAATGAAAGTAAATACAAAAAGAAAAAAACGAAAAAGAAAAAGCAATAAATGAAGAAAATTAAGAGAAATTTTTGAGTGAAAATTAATTATGAATTTGACCAAAATATAGATCATTAATTACAGAAATAAGCAGATTTGGATTATTTGATACTGCAAATCAAAATTTAGGCCATTTGGGCCTTTTCGGTGGAGGAATTCTTGTCACCTACACCTCCTTCCTATATAATATAATCCCCATCCAAGACAGAGAAACCAACCATACAATTCTAGAGAGAGAAACACATAACCCAAAATCTGCATATACATACGTAATGGAGTGTAAGCTTTGCTCCAAGAAATTCATCAATGGCAAAGCTTTGGGCGGTCACATGAGATCCCACTACGCCACCCTGCCGCTTCCGCCGAAGACGCCCCAGAGGCAGGAACTCAGTGAGCCGCCGCCGCCACCGCCGCCGCCGTCGTCCGAGTCAACATCCTCCGACGAGAGGGAGAGCAGCACCGGCGAGAAATCCTCTCTCTCCTACGGGCTGAGAGGGAATCCGAGGAAGAGCTACAGGCTCGTAGATCCCGAGTTTTACGACGTCGGCTCAGACGCGAGCGAGACCGAGTCGACTCGGGTGAGGAGCAAGAGGGCAAAGGTGACGACTGCAGCGGCGGCAACCGAGTTGGGAATCGAGGAGGAACTCGCCCTGTGCCTGGTCATGCTGTCTAGAGATGTGTGGGCGAGTTCAACTGAGTCGAGAACGAGTCAGAAAGTTCACAGATGCGAGAGTTGCGACAGGGTTTTCAAATCGTCCCAGGGTTTGGGCAGCCACAGGGCGAGCCACAACAAGACGACGACGACGAAGAACACGATTTCTTCTTCCGACTACGACGGTGGTTGCCAGAAGAAACCAGAGATCGCAATTGTTTACAAGTGCTCGTTCTGCGACAAAATCTTCGGGTCGTATCAAGCTCTCGGTGGCCACAAGAGATCGCATTATTTTCCGTCGAGAGATAAGTTTGAAGAACCTGCCGCCGCCATAGATCTTAATGTACCTGCTTCAATGGAAGACGAAGAAGGTGAGTTTGCTGCTATTAGTGATCGAGGAAAAGGTGTTTGCTAAACTTGTGACCCTCTTTTGATTTTCTTGATTTTTAGGATTTTTTTTTTTTTTTTTTTTTTTGTTAAATGTGAATTTGGTGAAATGGGGTTTGATAGAGAAAAAAAAAATATATTAATGAAGTATCATTTATGTGTTAGTTAAAAGGTGGCATTATATATATCAACATCAATTCTGCTAAATGGTAGTTGGCATATTACTCAATCAAGAATTCTTGAAAAGCAAATGGCTGAGCTTATTGAAATAATAGAAAAAAAAAAGAAAAAAAAAAAAAAAAAAAAAAAAAAAGAGGTAACAAACACTACCCATTCATTGTATGTATCTGAGTGTGTTTTCCTTGTTATAAGTGTGTGTGTGTGTGTGTGTGTGTGTTTTAACATGCATATGAGTGGTGTTTTTGAGGCTTGAGGCACAAGAATATTGAGGCAAGTTTGTTGATTTATCCTTTTTTTTTTTTAATTCCAGCTGTTAATTATTTGTGTTTCTGAGTGTTTTTGTGTTCAGTCTGCCAAAAAAACAAAAAGGTACCATTAAAAAAATGGCAGTTGTTTGTTTTCTCTCTCATCAGGTGAGAAAGCATGCATGAACAGATCTTCATATGTAGACCTGACCACCGGTTCGGTTAGAACCGGAACCAGAACCGGAACCGAACCAGGGGTCAACAGGTTTTAGAACCGAACCGGAACCGGTTGACCGAACCGAACCGAAC